AAAATACTATAGTAAATCTGCATATTTAGTGCCATTCATGGAAGATAAAGAAAAATAAACTATGTTGTTTTTTAATGTGTTAACAGTTGTACAGTTCTGGGTAACTTTATTTTGCATAATATTAGGACGACCTATTGTTTACCTATAAATTTAAATTCATCTCTTCACCGTATTTTTTATACAATGACGTATATATGCAAGTGCTATAAATCAATATTTTAAAGCTTGGTTGATGAAAGAAGGGGATGTTGAGGGTGACGTCATTATTGCGTCTATCTTTGTAATTATTATTACGTAGGTACTTATTTGAAATTAATTGGTGACTGTACCTCTTTCGTTTTAGACAACATAATATGTGTAATTGTGTTGTTTTACATTTTTGATGAAATAAATCAAATTTAATTACTAGAAGGTGTCCTGTTTTATGATAAAGACTCATATTGAAGTCATTGTTGAGTTCATGACGAATTGACGAAGTGAGCTCAGTTCATGTCAAAAAGTGTTGGTAAACTGTTTTTAACATTATAGGTACATAACTTAAAGATAATATCTAGCGCTTTGCTTCAAAGCTCTCACTCGCTCGCTAAACGAAAATAGCCCTTATCGATTACTAATCAAGACTATTTTAGAATCAGAATCGACGCGAAACTACTCTCAGTATTTTTATACAAAGATGGTTTCTTGAAAGCTAACTTATGCAACGTTGCAATGTATGCCTTGCTTTCTATCCTTGCGCGGTGAACGGGCCGGCCTTGCCCTCATGTCCATGGGGTCGGTCAGAACCGGTCTTACCCGTTAGTTGTGATGGGCAGGTGACGTCACACAGGGTTCGGATCCCCTCTCCTATTGCGTCAACTTCAGGGTGGATGCCATTTACTGGAGTATGACGACAACTGACGCATTACTTGTTTTGTTTTGTCATTAGTACTCTGTGGTGCTAATTATATAAAACCTGTTTACTATTTTTTATCAGCAAAAGGCCAAGCTTAAAAGTATTGAAACAATAGGGCCTGTTATAATAATTATTAATAGGTATACACATTTTACAGTATCTAATGTTTTATATGCATTGAAATGCTGATTGACAGTTTTCGATCACATTCTTCATTCAAGTGTACGGTATGAAAAACTTGCTTAGTAATTCTGGAACTAGTATGTCAGACTGAAAGTACTGAAGATTGCTTAAGAAGATTATCTGCATGGACCAAGCAAAATCAATCACTATCCATAAGCTTTTGATATGACCCACAATTTTAGGACATAGAGAATGTATATAATTCAATCGTTTAAGATTGATAAAAAATCCGTTAGCCATATTTGTACCTGAAGACAGGAGGTATATTTACCTATATACATTTAGTATCGGGGAGAAGGGAGGGAAAAACATTGACAACATAAATATAGACAGTTTTTCCTCGAAGGGTTAGGCGAAGGTATGAGAATGTTTACCCATTTTGTGCCAGACATGTTATTAAGTAGTCCTATATTAAACGAGCTTATTACAACATTCGGTGCAGATTCTGACTTCTTACCACAAATTTTTGTATTAGAAATCCTGCTAGGAGGGACAATAATAGACAGGTATATAGGAAATACTGTAGTTTCCAACTAGGCAAATTCAATTCTTTTATCCAAATGTCAAAAACGACACTTTTCTATGAAATTTGTATGAAATACTGAGTTATGACGTCATAGTATTTTTACGTCAAAACGGAATGGAATACTTACTTGTTTCTTAAAAATATCTAAAATTTAGTGTATCGATCGATCGATGAATGAAAGTGTAGTTATTTTTCAATATTGTATTGAAACATCAAATAATTTATTTTTGACCTAGGAAACTACCCAAATTCAGTATTCCGATCCTTCGTCCCAAAATTATGTGGGGACTAAAGCTACCCTTTTTTCGCTGACCAAGATATCGAATTTCATTGTGCTTCGTTCAAACGTACTAGATAGCGGTATCAACATGTTCGCTGTCGATGACCCATTCCATCCGCACTTGTCCTCCGCAGATAGGACGCGTATTTTTGTAATTTCTGGTCGAGTAAATTCCCAATGAGTCTCAACTGTCCGGTCGAGTATGAAAATTGAACAGGATATCGTTTTCTTCCGCTTGTTGAATAATGAACATTGATTTATTGATTAGATACAAATAAAAGGGAGGGAGCATAAATTTATCTCAAGTTGTTGGAGTAAAAATATTCAGACCAACAACAGAAGTTCTCTGTGTTTCTATAAATATTGTACTTATTTTTTTTTAGTTTCTGATTTTATAAATCGCGAGTCACAATATGTTTTCTAAGGTAAAGGTAAAATAGGATTTTGTTAATTTCAACCCCCATGGGGATAACATATGGGATGATGGAGGATGCACCAACAAGAATTTGTGATGGTACGAGATTGCAAGTGAATGCGTTATATCGCAATGTAGTGGAAGCTACTACACTAACTTGATGTGCGAAAGAGAAAAGTATTTTTATCACGAATCCCATATTCCCATTCATACATTATCATATCCCGTTAGAATTTAAAAGATAACAGTTTTCCCAAAAAGTCTGTGTTGCCATTACAATAGATATGGAGAAAGTCTTTGTGTGAACTTCTTGTTGTTATTTCGAGGGTGGGCCGAGTCTAGAAAGTTACGTAGGTATGCCTAATATTATTTACACACGTTAAAGCAAACCAAAAGTTAAACCACAAAAACTATACCTAATTAATAATAATACTTCTTAACGCGATCGAAGTCGCGGGCAAAACTATTAATTAACCTCTATAATTCAATGGCGACTCAATATTAACTTCACGCATATATTAATTTACGCTCTCTTGTCTCATAAAAATACTTATTAATGTAACGACAAAAAGATTTTATAAACTTTTTAATAAAACTGTGTTTAAGACACAAAAAAAATCTGTGAATTTTCGTAGTACCCAATTATGAAACCATGTATTTAGTTAATTATACTTACCTGAAATTACAAAATTGCTAATTGTAGGCGTAACGGTGGGTGTCAGGGAGGTAAGGTTATTATGACCTTGAGACCACCCCCTCCCTGACCGAACCTAAAATGAATTTATAACGTGGTATTATGTTCGTAGTAACTTGATACAGTTTACACAATTTTGAAAAAAGGTTTTAAAGTCAGAAAACTTTTAGTACTAGCGTGCGCGACTAATGATTACGAAATCGTTGTTTTTGGGGACCCTCGAAGGGGTGGATAGAGATACGAGTGTTAGATGTTATACCCACTATGTTCTACTATGATTTTTATTAATTATTATCCACTGTCACCAAGTATGCATGATGTTATTTATACAAAATTATCAATTTTGACACAATATGTTGTCAACTAGCTTCTGCGAACGCCTTCGCCCGCATAGCCCGGATGAAAAGGGGCATAAGCGTTATTCCAGACTGTTTTCTATATCTGTGCCAGTTTTCATCAATATCCTTTCTGTAGTTATTAAATTAAATGCCAAGTTACAAACATCTGATCTGATCCAACAGACAAACTGTGTATACAGTTTTGTTGGACATTTTATACTTTTTATAATGTAAAATGTACCTTCTAAGCAATAATAAATAAATAATAAATCTATTTATCCATACTTATAAACTTTGTGTTAGTAGTTGTCAGTAGGATTTACTTGTGACGCCAAGTCTTAATTCTTAATCTTCCATTTATGATGGCTAGCAACAGGTTCGCCACCTATGTAGCGGGTCTAATATCATAGCTGATAAATTGTGAACAAAAATGTCAGGCAGACCTGAATAAAAACTGGCTGGATATAAACAAAATATTCCCTTACAGAAATAAAGTAAGTAGATAAGCCTTTTAGCATTGCAATTTACGTAGTTAGTTGTAAAGTTACTAACCCTTGTGCTATTGTAGGAATTGCCTGATGGTTTCTTTGTAAACTTCTTTCTTATGTACCTTCTCAAGCTATGTAGTTGTAAGGCATCACTCGGTTTCTTTTTCGAGAAAAGACCGATGTTTTTAACTTCTTTGTTATGGACCTTCTTGTGAATTATGAAAAAAAAATCCTGAAATTGCCCATAATATTTCCGAGTTATAGTTTTAGAATAGCCCTTTTCTCGTGAAACCTCAGCTCATCTCACCGTTTGAAAAAGACGATTTAATACAGTGCGGAGAGCGAGTTATTTTTATATTAATGCCTTCGAAATGTTTTCGAATTTAGCCCTCTGATTGGTTGGTTTACTTGGAGCAAGCCAATCAAAGAAGATCATAAAATGTCGATTGTGCTAACTAAAGTAAAGCAAATGCACATTAGGCACTATGGTTCATGAAAAAAAATTGACATATACTATATCTCAATCTAAATTTGTTCTTGTTACATTGTAAATGTTGTCACAGTGGCACACCTACCAAGGCGCTCCGCTCCCCTACTAGGTATCTGTTGCATGTTTAAGTCGTGTGTATGTGTGAGTGTAGGTTCTTGTATGCAAATGTTAAAGGGTGTCCTAGTTGTTGCACTATCAGGTTCTTGCGCAAAAAGTAACAGCTGTACATTGTTTAGTAATTATATTATGTATGGCGTTGTTGTCTTAAAAAACACAATTGAATAATGTAGCTGGGTTTGTTTTTTGATGACCAGTGCCAATTACAATTGCACAATTGTAATTAAAAATAAATACAATTTATGTACTTATGATAATTTTTATTTCAGAACATGTAATTCTTAAATTAATTTTTTAACGTTCAAAAAGTCTTTTATAGCCTATTTGTTATTTAAAATGTTAATAAAAGGCTATTCAAATCTACTTCGTTACTAGTGATTCTACAATTATGTTTTAATAATAACTATTGAATAACTGGATACTAAGCACATATTGGCCATATCACTCATAGGTGATTTGAAATGACTGAAGATACCTTGACACCGATACACATTATGTTGTGACACAAACGCTACATGAAATATGAATGTTAAAAAAACCATAAGAAACACTAGTTGTTAATTATTCTTCGATTAAATTAACGCAGACGTCGCATGGCTTGGCTGAGCGGCACCCTGCTCAGGAACACCACGCAAGAGTTCAGCCCTGCTGGGTATGAAAACATGATCCTCTCTCCGTATCTCGCAGTCAGTAGCCCCGTCACACATTCTGTGTCCACGTCCGCAGTCCTCATCCCCGTCAGAGCCTGCAGACGCCTCGCCAAGTACGACAGCTCCATGCAACACTTCGGCAGCTTGCTGTCTATCTCTTCAAGCAGCTGCGCCAGAGCCTTGAACATTACAGAATCAGGCACCTCTGGTGGTTTCGTCACGCAGCATTTTGGCAGTCTCACGTAGTCCAAATAGCAACCTTTGTGGTAGCGTACGCCTTTGTCGAGGAGATCCTGCGGCGATTCGAACTGTTCGATTTTTGTAAATATTCTGTCCTGCTTCTTGAACGCGACGTCGCTAAGCAGCCGAGCGGCCGACAACTTCGCTCTAAATGGATGCACCTTCAGCTGCTCCGCAGTTAGAGTTGATTCACAAAAGAAACAGTCCTTCATTCGTTCAGGATCTTCACTTGGGGTTTGGATTTCTTTAATCTCTTGTTGCGGTGTACCTGATGCTGTTGTTTGTATATTCATGTACTTCTGGCAGATGTAAGAGATGACGCAGGTGTGATGCCATGAGAAGCGTTGCTTGGTCAGTGATTCCTGGTACATCAGGTGGAACTTTTCGCGAATGGCGTCCTGTCGTTCGTTCGCTACTTGCTTTACAGCGAGGTATGTGCATGGCTCCGGGTCCACGATCAAGTTGTCTAGTTTATCGCAAAACAAGCAGAATAGCGTGCTTGCACTTTCTTCGCCGGGAATCGCGGCACTTTCTGTCATCTTTATTCAGTTAACAGTGATTAACAATTGTGGAATAAACGAGCGCCGTAGTGACGCGCCGGTAAACTGCAACTGCAATCCATACATCAAACACCTATATCCTTGTTGGTATAGGAGAGGCTGCGCGGCGCAGACACGCGCAGATCTGCCTGGCAGGCGGGAGGGGTGCATGGTCATAGAATAAGTGCTGATGAATGAATCTTCGTCCTAACTACAAACTAATGCCTATTACATTCTTAAAGTAGATGAACAGTAGATTACATATAAATATTTCAGGAGTATAAAGAGAAAGTGTGCATATCGTGCAAATTTTGTTGCTCAGATATTAAAGTTACTTATGAAAGAGTAATAATCCTATCTTGGCGCCCTTTTAATCCTTGGAGAGAAGAGAGAAAAAGTGCACATATTAAAAGTAGCTACAACTTTGCACAGATTCTGTTGCGAATCCTGTTTCAGTAATAGGGTACAGTCAATCTTTTAAACCAGTTTTATCATCAGTTGCCATTATCTAAAAAAAGAGGTGCGTATTTTTCAATATGCATACAATTTCATAGTAAACATATTCAGATACTTACAAATAACACTAATTCTTTTATAATTTGAAGAAAATGTATTTCTTCAAAGAAAATAAACATAACATGGGAATTTGTCTATGTAGGTACCTAAATCCTAAAATAGTAACTCGTACATATCTACAAAGTGAACTACATAAGGTAGCTACATATAGCGACGCGAATCAATATCGAGTGCCCAGTTTACAATTACGTAGGCCAACAGCCCAACACATATGCACGCGTAGCAACCGACCAGTCGACCTTTTTAGACCCTCCCCTATTTTAGGGGCGATCCCCCATGGGCCATACGAGGGGGCATGGCAAGGGTGGTTCAAGGGACGCTAGATTATGGACGGTTTTAGAGATCTAATTTATTTTCAGGGGGAGGGAGAATTTGGGGGGCTGTAGTCCGGATTATTTTTAGGGTCGCCGTCGACCCCTACGATGATGTAGCGCGGAGCTGTTGCTGACGGGATTAAATTTGCTTTGTACGTCTTTATTGTTGAAATCTTTTGTTATAAACAATTTTATGTTGTTCAACGTTGTATTTAATATGTGGCGATGTTTTGGTTACCATTACACAGGTTCATAAGACTGGCTAGGCGAAGCTAAGTCTTTGTCTACCCATTTAAAAAAAAAGTTACCCCACACTTGAATTTTCTCCTGTGTCGTGGAAGCGTTTACAAACATACAATTTCACATACATATCACACAAAGAGTTGTTCCGTGCGGGAATCGAATCCGTCTTACGTTGCGCGGCAGCCATCGCGCCAGTCGTGCAGTCAATTTGACGAAAAAAGGCGTAACATTATCAAGAAGATCCGACTAACCACCAAGCTATCTTTATCTCGTCCATCTTGTATTAATAGGTGACAGGTCGAGTCTATTCAATTATTCATCTATGGTTCTAAGTTCTGGGAATTGATAGGTGAAGCCACCGTATCTATCTATATAAAATATCCCCCTTAGTACCTTATGGAAGGTTCTGGAATACAGTACCGAGCTATATTTGTACATAATCGCTTTAAAAGTATTGATTTTTTGCGATCTCTTCATATACCTACTCCGTAAATACGTAACATCGCTTTGAGCTTCAAAAAATGTTCGAGGTAAAATACGAATACCTATTGGAAAAAGTAAATGTTTTTTTTTTACTTTTACACGGAAAATAAACCTACGCACCGACTTGTTTTTTTTTTTCATCCAAGCTTTGATTCTTTTCTAGCTCACGTCTTTGCCGAATGGAGAGACAGAAATGAAATAAGTTGTATCTAAAACTAGCTGACCTAGCGAACTCCGTACCGCCTCAAATATAACTATTTATTTTGACCTTTTAAACCTTCCCTGGACTTCCACAAATAATTCAAGACCAAAATAGGGATGATGACCAAAAAAATAATAATTAGTCTATCTTTAAAACGCCAGAAAATAGAAGATACGTATTTTTTCTTTTGCTTCTAAAACTTAAAATAACAAAGTTACAGAGCGGCAAAAGTTCGCGCTACGTCATTGTTTCGTAAAATTTTACGAAAGAGTGACGTCACGCCCCTACTCCTGAATTTGAATGTGCTGTTCGTTGTCAATAGGTATTATTTGTATGGACAAATAAAAAAATACGTATCGAGTATTTTTCTATAATCTAACTGACGGACAAATTAGAATCTTGTTGTTAAACACAGGAGACATCCCTATTAAGTATTAGACGAAACGGTAAAGGCATTGTTGAGTTATGACATTACAACGAAAAGTGGCAGTGATTTTTATATAGATGATGACAATAAGAAGTCTTCTGCCGCGTCTTTCTGTGCAAGCTATTAATATGAAAGCTACCGAAGGAATTTTTGAACGAATTTCGTTTATAAATAATGTGATTCCTGAGGAAAGTTTTTAAGATACCCAGGCGCGGTCAAACGTACCTATAAAATAACCTACTTAAAGTATAAACAGGAAAGAATATACTATATATTACGCCTGATTTCAAACTAAAATAACCTGCAAACTAGCGATTATCATTAAAATTGGGTACGTCGTCAGTCAAAAAAAAAAATCTCGATTCTTAATAAAATTAAATATGTAAAAATAGTTGTATTAAGTTCATTGATTTGAACGTATGCTGCTTTTCCAATTGTTATTGTGTTTTATTAACTTATTAATATGCTATATTTGACGAAGTCTGTAACTCATTCAATAAAAGTATTGAATTTTAATAGTTGTTAAATATTATTATTAATAAAAACGTATCTCTTTCTCTTTACAGCTTTCCATTCTGACCAACAACTTCTCGCACATATGAAAGTCCACCTTCAATCCTATACCACGACATATGAGGGGCCCGGAGAGTATATACACGACGAAACTATAAATACGGACAACTATGTAAGTATATAAACCAAGCTAATATTATAAATGCGAAAGTAACTCTGTCTGTTTTTACTTTAAGCCTAAATTACTGAACCGATTTTTGTGAAATTTGGTACAGATTTAGTTTGAAACTCGAGAAAGGACATACTATAGTTTTTATCCCGAAAATCCCGCGAGATCGGAAACATTGTAGGTAAAAACAAAAATCAGCTGGAAGTAGTCACTATTAGACGCGAACTAATTCGCGGTCAAAAGATAGTTAATACTAATACACTATACAGCTGACCCAGCAAACTTCGTACCACCTAAATCATAAGTAGTATTTTGTTTTTATTTAAATGTTCTTATTTTCTGATCTTTTAAACCTTCCCTGTATATCCAGGAATATTTTGAAACCACAATAAGCCATGCCAAGTCCAGTTTTTCTCGGGTTTAATCGAGGCTAATGAACAGCAATTCATTTTTATACATGTATACTAGCGGACCTTACCCGAAAATCACCACATATCAAATTTCAGCGGAATCGTTAGGGCCGTTTCCGAGATCACATGCATTTTTAAGCAGTCAGCGCCATCTGCTGGGCTGATTTGTGAATCTACACCATCCAGGATGCCAGTCAAAGACATACAGAAAAAAAAATTTAAATCGGTCAAGCCGTTTAGGAGGAGTTTCATGACATGCACACGTACAGCAGAATTATTTACTTATATAAAGACAATAAGATAAGTAACTCTGCCTACCATAGTTCGAGACAGGCGTGATGATGTCTATGTATGATGTGTGTAGTCTCTTGGGTATGAAATAAAGAAAAATTTTAAACTTTGATAATCATTTAAATGTTTGACAAACCTTTTACCGATGAATTAGGTATCTTTGTTTATGTAATTGTTGATTTTTTTTTATCCGGGCTTCTTGTAGAAAAATTTCTTCGAACTAAAAAGGATGTGGTAACATGACGTAGAAGTAATAAACTCGAATAATTATGAGAAACCTAATCAATTCACAAACAATGTTACAACAAATCACAAACTACACAAAACTACTGATTTAATTTCAATAAAGCTCTCGTACCCTTGCACCAATCTGAACAGACCTCTTAGTTTCCAATCCAGTGTTAAATTGATTCAGCTGGTCCGTAGACCCCCACGCCTTAGAGGGGGTGCACCCCACTAGGGATCGCCCTGAAGCGGTGTTACTAAGTTTGTTAGTTCACTTATGTACTACAACCTATATACTCGTGTCGATACCTTATGTAGTCTTGTTTTAATACCAATTATGGTACAAATTCATAATTCTGTTTGTTTGAGATAAGCTTTGAATCTTTGTATTTTAGCTAAGCTTCTGTATATATTATCCTTGTATATATTCTGTCTCTTTCGTTTGTAAATTTTACTTGGAAAAGTAATAATTCATCATTCATCCAAACATTAATAATCACCAATTTCGTATTATTTTCTTTAAATATATTTTGTGGCAAATTGTCACGAGTACAACTGCCAAAAAGGCGACCAGAATTCCGACTCACATTTCATGGGTCCCACTTTAAGGTACGGAAAACTAAAAAGTATTCATATACCATGCTACTATGCTTTCTTTAAACTTAGGCCTAAGGCTTTTGCTACAAGGATAATAGACAATTTTGTATAGGGCGACTTGATTTTTAGGTCTACTACTTTTTTTACCAGTTGGCGCCACTGTGGTTCCCTTGTCCTATGGTCCAATGGGGAGTTGGCTAGCTTCACGCTATTGGACGTTTTAATTTTTAACAGTTACAGTTATTGGTCATTGGCAAAAAAGCGCTGGACCCAATTATAATGTACTTATGTGTGTACATAAACAAAAAATTACTTATTTTTGTAGTTACTGATTCATGAATGACATGGCATTTTAGGGCTGCGCTATTAACTGACAGGAAATATAATCTATTAATAAAAATATTTAAGAATAAATTAAAACATTCAAAAGTCGCACCGATTTAACGTAGCAGCTTTCTAAATATTATTTTTTTCAATCCGACCTCGGCCTAGAGCAGAAGAAGGAACAGGGGGGTTTTTAGTCAGTAAGAGCCTGACATTCCCTCCCGCCCTACCCTAGGCGGGAGAAGTTATTTGATGATTTTCTCCTCAAAAAAAAAAGCTTTCTAATTTCCGTTTCACACAAACAATTTTTCAATCCAATCATTGTCATCTGACCATAGTCCTAAAAAGCAACTTTTTCATTTTAATTCCAGGGTTCGGACAACAATCTCCTTGTAGCTCGTTCTTCCCAGAAGAATAATGAGAGTCGTCCCCACGAGTGCGAAATATGTCACAGACGGTTCAAGAGGAAACAGCATCTCAAGGTTCACATGAATGTGCACGCTAAAAATGACTTCACTATATGGTGCTCATTCTGCGGAGAAGGTAAGCTTTATATACTGTATTGTAAACCGTAAATGTAAGAGGATAGAGTTGAAATTTGCATTTTGATAAGTGCGTTTTTGCTGCGTTGAGGACTTGTTCATTGTGCCGAAGACCGGTAGAAATGTTATGTGAAGTGTTCCATATAATATATTGCATTTTATGGTAGGATAATATGGAACTATCCAAAGTGTATCTTTGTAAACGCACCGAAAGGCAAGGAGAACATCCTAAACGGGGCAAAGTTTTATATTTAAATATATATTTTTATATCCCTTAAAAGCCACTGTCCACAGAGCGAATACTAACTCTGTATACATAATATAATATTTCTTTATTATCTTTCAGGTTTCCTTTCCAACGACCAGTTTGAGACCCACCAGTGCCAGCTTATGTCGCAGGACGGCGATACACAGGGCGAGCAGAGCGAGCAACCTCCACAACTACCCTCCCCCCAAGTATTCCCTCCACAAGAACATAAGAAAGAAAACAAATACCCAGCGGAATATGTGAGTACTACCATCGTTGCCTGTCTCTGTGCACTATTTTTTTTTCAGAGATAGATCTAGAAACTTTCCGACGGATCGTATTTTCAGCAAAGAAGTTACAAGTGCGTTCTTATTCATTCAAATCTATATTTTGGAAAAAACACTTCTTCCACTGATGGGCAAAATGAAACATAAGTCCTAACACACACTCCAATCTTTACGTTCTCTCAATCCCCAGAAGGTCGGCAATGCACTCGTTACTCCTACCTCGCTGCGGATGTCCTTGGACGGCGCTGATTGCTTGACATCATGCCGTCTGTTCATTTAATGGCCTATAACATTTAGTTGTACTTAATAAATGATTTAGTCTACTAAAGAGACGAGCGATCACTGCAACTAACTAAAATGCTATACTAAGCACCTATATACAAATATCCATTCAGCGTAAGTAGGTACACAAGACACCTAAAACCCGGATTTCTATACTGAGAAAGGGTGTATTAATACTTTATAGTTCGGCCGTTCAGAGAATGCGTTCCTGACACCTATCAGTTAGTCACGACTAGTGATGGGCACAACATAACACTGAGTTCGTTACCGTTCCACCAAAATGAAGCCGCGTTATTTTTAAGATTATTTTCGTTTTAAATTTTCGGAATCATTTAAAATTTATATTTTAGTAATTTAAGTGGAAATCAAAAAAGGTAATATTAATATAATAAAATTGTTTTATTTGTTCTTTGTTACAAAGTTACAATCTGTATTTCTATGCAATAAAGTACATTGAATTGAACGTACGTAAAGAATATTACAGACATACATACAGACTCCGATTCGCTTGAGGAGGTGGTGTCTTCATCATCATCTTCGCCTACATGTATATTTATATTATTATCAATTACAGAATCAATCCTGATATCTCGGTCAAAATGTTCCATATCCAATTTTTCAATTCTTAAAATGAAAAACAAAACGTATTATTTTATTAAGTATATCTGTATAAGAACAGATTACGATACTGTTATTGCCTGTTATTGTTAGCACAGCACTACAAATATAAAGCGCTGACATAACCTTGTAATAGCGCAGTATAGATTTAGAAAAATATTGTTTACCAAGTTATTTGACACTCAGTTTGGCACAAAATTATATTTTTTTTTTTTGTATTTATATAATAATGTTGTTTTAATGCTCATCTATTGTTAAAACAGTAAACAACGCGCAAAAATATTTTTATCGTAACTGCAACGCCATTACAAAGTTACGTCGTCAGTTCAATCGCGACGTGTCAGGAACGCATTCTCTGAACGGCCGAACTATAATTAATATAATTTATAGAATCAGGCGGTACTTGCTGAAATCCATGAGTTTTATCGCGGAATTAAAACTAAATATTTTTCCTAACATTTAACTTTAATTAATTACCAGCTACTCTCGCGTGGTTTCACCCGCTTCACGGCTCCATTTAATCGTAGCGTGATGTTTTATAGCCTATAGCACTCAGGATCATTATAGCTATCTATTAGTGAAAGAATTTTGCCAATCCGTCCAGCGGTTCCAAAAGATTACCCCCTACATTCAAACTTACTAATTGTACGTACATAATAATAGTATAGTATAAATTCACGTTAAAAATTTCAGATGGACTTAGGAGAGCTAGCAGCGATAGACAGCATACAATATTTAAACGTAGAGGAGAAATCGTTGCCTGTCCCGCAACGGGTGTTCGTCTGCAAGTTCTGCTCCAAACCCTTCAAGAGGAAAGACCATTACAAGATTCACTTGAACATACACACGGGCGTGAAATCCTTCTTCTGTACCGAATGCGGGAAAGGTAAGCTTACATTTTATCCTATAAAAACTTTATCCTTTCAAACTGCGATTTTCGTTCCTTTTACCTATTCGCCAAGCGTTGAGATTATGGCCAACCCCTCTCATGTAGAGGAGATTTCTAAAAATCATGTTCAGAAAATTGCCAAAGGGGGTTTTCCTCTTTTTAAAGTAGGAGACAAACTACCAAACTTGTTATCTAATGTACACCACAAAACCAAAGATAGTACTTGTGACCGGTGCCGGCCTCATTGCGCTTGCCCCGCAACCCCGGCTGAACATCAGCCCTATAAGGCCCCGTCTGTGGTCGTCTATTGGCTCTTTGAGGCGCGCGCGGAACGCTACGCGCCGTACGCTCGGGTCTGGTTCTGTCGGGCGGCGAGCTGTCCTTGCCGTCCGCAGATCCGCGCTTACGGTGGCCGGAAATCGTCTCTCGATAAGTTGATCGACTGAATGAGTGCAATATATGTGCATCAAAATTTCTGCAAGCTGCAAGCTGTTGAAAAATATATTTAGCAGTTGACTTTCTTCAGTCTACTTACTTTTACAGCTTGAATTGATATTTGTAAACATTGTCAAATGTTGGTCTAGCTAGATTATGAATATAATAAATAATACATCAACCTAAGCAAGCCGTATTACCTAATTAATTTAATGTGGCTCAAGATAATATTTGTTTTTTTTTTGTTTCCAGGTTTTTACCGCAAGGATCACCTGCAGAAGCACATGATGGTTCATACCAGATTGAAGCCTAAGAAGGAGGTCCCCGCCCTAGTCCCCATACACCAGGTGCCCAAGAAATCGGTGGTGTTGCCTGAGATTACCATTCATGTAAGTCAACTATCATTTTTCTTATAAAAGATACAGACACCAACTCCTAAATTATGACCTCTGTTTAAAAATAGACTTTAATAGTAATGCCATAAGGTAAACATTGGTTTGACTTGTACTAAAACTTTTAACAATCATTTAATTCTTCCTTAATACAAAGGTTATGTGACAACAAATGTGGAAATGGTTATTTTAAACACCACTAACAATAGTCCAAACTAGTCAACTAGTAAACTAGTTTTACAATATCTATTAAAAACATAATTATGTTTGTATGGAAGCACACCTAAATTTTTTTGTATTTAGTATTGTTGCTACAGTGGCCACATAAACACATCATCTAACTGAATTTTAACAGTCTAACCAATATCGGAGTTTAAATAGCATTGTTGCTTTCACCGCTTGGTTGCATAATAAATAAAATAATTTAATTCCAGGCTCCACCTAGTGCGAAGCTTCGTATGCCTCTGCAAATCAAAGTTCCGTACCAGATGGTCGTGTCTATGGACAATGGTGAGCAACGGGCAGTCACCATCGACCCTCAAGCATCCAATTCCAATTCTTCGTAATGTATGTACCAACTTCTCTTCTAGACTACACAGCAAACATAACAAATATATATTTAGAAAATGTATTATTATTTAAAATATATTTTCTAAAATTCTAAGTCTCAATTCCATCTGGAAACCTTTAAGAAAATGCTTCGGTGGTATATCCTTCTTGCTGGGTGTGATGTAAGCGATACTAGAACCCTAAGTCGATCGCAGCGCCCCGCGGAAGTTTCATAGAATCAATCAACTCAAATTACAAAAATAAAAACTGTTGTGTCAAAATATGCAGCTATTCAAAAGTTTCCTTGAACTATACATCTCTTTAAAGTATTATTAAAGATTAATTATTGTGGCATTTTAGACTGAAAATATAAAGTTGAAACATTATTTTCGACATTCCACAGATTATAATATGATCTTAAAGAATTTTTGTATAGCAATATGTAATCGAAACTGTTATTTCAATTTCGTAATTGTGGTCGGTCATTTGAAATTTTAAAAACCGCCGTCCGCTTGTTGGAACAATATAAATTACTCCGGACAAGTCTTGTGACATGGTTAAATGAACTTTAAATACGTAACAAGAAAGATACGTTTTGCATTTGTTCCCGTTTCGCATATGAGTCTGCTAAGTTAATTTTATTCCCGTTCAATCTTGGTAAAACTTCAATACAATTTATACTTAGACAGAGTTGTATACAGAATATATCATTATAAGAATAAATCCGTAAAATATGGAAGTACTTGTATATCATATTATATCCCAAATATCATAACAAAATACTTTATAATAAGATTAAACTTCGCCATATTGTGTTAATATATAAATAAAATAGTTCTATGGTCAATTTAATATACATTAATGCAATAAAATAAACACAGATAGCTTTAACTATTACAAAAATTAGTTATGCTATAACAAATAATAAAACTTTAATCTTATAAGTAACTGAAGAACTGAAAAATAAAATATTCCATAAACATTAACATAAAATACTTGTTTATTAAAAAAATGCAGTTATGTTATATAAGTTATGAAATAAAATCACTCCTCTAAATTCGTATAACTTCTTGATTCATAATGAATTTTTAAAATAAGTATGTCGAGGTAGTTAATGTTTTCTTTTAAGTATCCTATTTGAGATGTCACAATAATTTTTCTTTAAATTGTGTTTAAAAATGCTTTAAAGAAGTGTATGCATTTAATATTGTGTAGGCTAACATTGAATTAGTAAAGGAAAGCTAAGCAGCTTGATAAAAAGAACGATACTTAACAACTTTCCCAAAAAAAGTTATGTTCTAAACTCATTCATTTCACATTTATCATACACTAATTTCTGAGGGCGGCTTCGGGATAAATACCTAGTATTGTCCTACTAAACTGTAATCTATCTTTGTGCCAATTTATATCAGAATCCATTCAGTGGTTTTTTACTTGAGAGAGTAACAAATATCAATCTATAAGTACTGGAAAACTTTCACGTTTATAATTTGTATAGTAGGATAATAACAACAGCATTTGTGACACATGCATAAGTTAAAACAATGAAACAATGAATTTATTTTTGCAAATGGCTATAAAACGGCACTTTTACACGTCAAGTTATATTTAAAAACACTAGATGAAGCCGCCATTTCCTATCTGACTACTCTGAGATGAAATGCCGAAACAAACACAGAGGTCAGTCTCTTTTAAGTCCAGAAAATATCAAGTTTTTATTTATGATAAAGTAAAGTAAGAAAAACAGCTCTATTACGCTGTATTTTTGGGGTCTTCTAGAACAAGTATTCCATATAATTAAAAAGAGGCCCTTGTGTAAGATTGTTTGTGTAACTTTTAATGTGATAATGAAATAAAGGTTTGAGATGTGTATTAAAAAAAGTACAGACGGGGCAAGCCGGCTCACGAACATGGCCCTAAATAAACAGCTCTAGACGTGTATCCTATACACAAAAATTAGAGAATAAGAAAAGTTTAAATCAGTGAGTTTAGAACTATTAGGGAAAACGTGTTTTGCTATCTTTAGCACTATCATGTGTGTTGCTCTCTTTTATTAATGAAATGGTCCCCTTCACATCACTTTAATAATAATACTTTTCAATGTAAATATCTCTGTAACATATTATATTAGATAAATCAAATTGTTTGTTCTATTTTTAAAACATAGTTATTTTTACTATAAGATAGAGCAAATAATTTTCATTTTATGGATTTGTATGTTCTAGTAAATAAGTTGTAAATGGTCTCAGACAAAAAAGGGCTTAAAGTTGAATGGAAATTGATTCATTTAGTGCATGTTTACTTAATATTTGTATATAAAACTGATATATATATGTATTGACAAAATGAAACTGTAAATCTGTAACATGAAAACTCATAATAGAAATAAATTATAAAAACGTAACTCTTCGAAGATACAACATAATGCGGCGGTCTCACGACATGATTATAAACCCCGGTCGTGGCTTGAAAGTGATCGTGCTTCCTCGAAGAGTTACGTGAGGTAGCCGTAATTTAGAATGACTTCTTCGATATGGTGTATGCCTTTGAATTTGTATTTCTTGTAGTTATTTTAAACAAAAATGGTCTTAAAAAAGACAGCTTATATAAAAAGAATTTGGGTCTGGTCGCCCTATGGAATCACTTTTATAAAATTAATGATCACTGGGTCCAAATTACATGTTGATCTCAATCATATCTCAACTTCTTCTTATGTCAATAACATTGAATGTTTTTAATAAAACTTTATCGTTTTTATAATATGAAATTAAGGTAAACTTACATGGGACTTAGAAATTTATTTAAAATTACGGCTTACGTGGAGTAAAAGTACTGGGACTCGTAAAAAGTCTAAGAGTCCCGTTGTGACTTGAAACCAGTAGAGCTTTTCTCGATTATTTACAATAGTGAGCCGTTATTTTGAATAAAAAAAATTAAGCTGGTTTTACTCTCATCGGCGCTAATTGTTAGGAATACACAAAAAGATATGCTATTTTTGGCTCCACTTTAGTATAATCTTTCTATATTTGGCCTTGAAGTTATCCAAGAATAGTCTTATGGTAACACAGACTCTAGAAAGAAATTCTATTTCCGTTCTCAGTAAAAAAAACTCAAACCGCATTAGTAAAAGTAGTAAACAGAGCAATGTTTTATTTCATACATCATTCTCTTAGCGCTGACTGTAAAACCAGCCTTATGTATAAACGAAGAAAGTCCATAATTCCTTTTAAGTAATGTGATTCTCTCTATGTGTATATTAATAAGGAAAATTATATTAGTTGTAAGTGTGTCACACATATCGTGCCATTGAAACCAAATACTCAATTATTGACAGTTACAATGTTCGTGATTTAATTGGAAAATGTCGGAGAATTGTAAAATAATTACTGTAGAATAATTTTCACTATGTTAAATATTATATCAAAAACATTTCTGTATTATATCTTTCGTAAGACTTTTAAATTAGTTATTTATATTAAACGATGTCCGTGAAGCGTCGTTTGTCGCGCAATTCTGCTCTTGTATACTATGGCTATCAGTTTATTGCTACTTATAGGTAAATACATCATACGCAAAACCAAAATAATTCAAAAAATGAAGTAAACGCAGTATCAATATTAAATCTACCATACTGAGTGAACTTTTATATATGCGGCTTGAGTTATAATGTGACAAGGTGCGAAATAATGACTTTCCATTAAATACCACCAGTCACTGTCATCCAGCTTTAATTAGCCATTATTGGCCTAACCTGTTTCGAAGAAGGTATCGCAGTACTTGAAGTAATTCCGATAGCAGTTCATTTCTGATGGCCGTTTGATTTCTGCGCGGGTCGCAGTTCTAACATTTCCTAACCGATTCGATTTTTATAATAATCTCCACACTAATGATAAATTCAGCTATTCAATAAACAAGATAGTCTCTCAGGCCGCTGGTCGTGTGACTGTAAAAGTTATTGGCTAATTTAATGAAGCTATATGGCTGCTACATATGCATGTTATCTTTGGATAAGACACTTAAATAATAGAACCTGATGGCCTCTTCATTTAAAGTAGGCTTGAAGAACTACCTACTAAAGTTCAAATTTTTCTTCTAATGAGCTATTTTAACCGGCTGCCCATATGTATACCGCAGCAATGTACGACCAATGCACGACGCGACGGACCATATCGTACGTATTTCAAACATTGTAACTGGCAACGCGGTCGCAAATAGTTGTAAATGTATCTTTATGTAAAGTTCCTCTATATTTGTCTTTTCACTAAAAGTAACGTTGTGATTTTATTAATATAAGTTTGAATAAATGCGACTTGAAGTACAAAAATAAAGTATTTTGCACTCTATTTCCGTTTTTTTTATTCTTGTTAACATAGGTAAGTACAGAATTCATTATTTTTACATTAATACACTGAATAAACGGAAAAAAGCAGAACAGACCTGCCAATGAAACATCGTCTTTTAAAAATCATAATATACAATAGTCATTATCAGATATGTAAACACAGTTTGTTTGCATTTACAAACATACAATTTCACACACATTACACCCAGACCCGGAACAAAAATTTGTGGTTCACATAAAGTGTTGTTCCGTGCGGGAATAGAATAAATAGTGCATTCAGTACAGTAATAGGTAATTAAAATCCAGTTATCACTGACTTTTGAATATGCCGAAAGATCATACAAAGCAGACCATGGCAAAGTAGTTATTTTATAAAAACCATTTTAAGGTATCCGTTTACAACCGCACTTCTTCCTACAACCTATTTTTATTTTTATATGCTTCAAGTATGTAAAATTTATGTAGGTATGTTGGAGATCAATTTAAGAGAAGACCATCCCCACATTCTTCAATCTTTATCAGGAAAATATTATGCCTTTTGGGGTGTAACTTAACGAGGTGTGTAATGTAACAGGATATTGGAAGTATTCTATCAATTCTCACATATAATATTCATATAACATATAATATGATTGAGGTTTTGTAAATGGACCCAATTGCAGGCCAAAGTCACTTTCACTCTGTCCCTACACCTCAAATTATCTTTCTACAATAGGCAACAAATAATTAAAGTAGGTAATAAAATAATTGCCTATAGCTCTTCTAAAACTTACAAGAGGCGTCTTTGCAGTAAGTATTTTTAAGCATATTAGATACGGAAGGTTGTTAAGTCGTAAAATGAAAATAAAAACTACAAAATTCAAGTAAAATGTTTTTATTTAGTAAGTTAAAATATGAAAGCACAAATGTGGTATTGGAGAAGCTGGCTATTATTATCTTATATTGCTAGTTGTCAAAAATATTACGGGACTAAGTTGCTTTAACATTAGAGTTTGTCCAACAATGAAATCGAAAAAGGCGAAGTCTTTGGTCTATCTTCATCATTAGGCGATAAATGACCTACGCTTGAGCACTCATCACCAATTCACCAGACGTATTGGCGAATTCGGAACTGTAGTTCCAAATTCAAAGTCCGGATTTCACATGATGTTTTCCCGCACCTCCGTTTAAACGCACGAATGTGCTTACTCTTCAATATTTTATGTGATTTAACCGAATGCAAAGCGTTGTATTCGTTCATCTCTTTTGTTGGACATATTCTAATGGTAATTGTTCGTATGGTACATTACTGAAACAAATATCTATACATCTCTATCTCGGTACAAAAGCTTAGTGTTACCTGTAAAATAAAATAAAACATCTTATTCTACCATTTTCATTGCTTATGCGACATTAAGGCGCGTTTGGCTTTACAATACAGGAACTTAAAACTCTTTTCATATAATAATATCGTCGTTACATAAAACATTATGTTTTTGTACTTTTAAACCTTAAAACGTTGCACGTGAGTATTGACTCAAAAACATCTAAAACTGAATTTTAATTTTTCTATAAAAATATGTTTTGTACGTCTATGTGCACTGCTACCCGTAGGCACTAAACTATGACCTAATTTACAATTTATGAACAATCTTTCTATGGTACATAACAACTATTTTGCATAAACATTTACTTATATTAAGTATAGATAATCATATATAAATTAACTAAACGTCGAATGGACAATAAACTAACAACAATACATTGAAAACAAACCTCAAAGGTACAACATTAGTTTATATTCAAACTTAATTTTTACATGGAAATTATATCACAGAAAAATATATTCGACGCATATTTACAATTAGCCAAATCTTACAGAAACACTACTACAAATGCAAAAAGATATCTTCAAATCCTTCAAAATAACTAAAATATTTAAAAGTATTTCAAATGAGTCCCTTGCTAATTTGATGGTGGCAGTGTATGTATGTATAATTCATAAGTATTTATAATAATTACTATTATTGCTTCTTTTCTCTTTAAATAGAAAGTCCTGTGATATATTTTTTAATCGTTAGACATCAGTCGCCATAACGGCCATAACAGAATTAATAATAATAAAACAAAATCAACGAAACACTATTATAACTAAATATTTTAGTAGGTACTATTCATCTATCTTCAATAATTTTGTAGACGTTCCAAGTTTTCGCTGGCTATACTGTTTAATTATTGGCTTATTTACATATAGGTACATACCTAATAACGAAATTAATATGGTATATACCAACTATTCAAATTCAATAATACTTTCGATATGACAAAAAGCGACGGTTACTTATGAATTTTAATATCGTTTTTTTCTAAGTTTATTTTCGCAAAATGAAAATCTTGTGACATCACGCATAAACTTCACAGACCACTGTCGATTGTCGACAATTCGAAAAATGTATTAAATTTGAATGAATTGGAACGTCCACGAATACTTATTTGTTTATTTACATAACTAACTATATTGCACTAATCTGGTGATTCCCAGGTACTTTCCATCGCACGATATATCACATATTTATTTATGTACGCGATTGCATTACACCCTGGCCTTACAGTTTTACATAATACTCGCCCTCACTATTCTCACTGATAGGTCGTTCTACAAAAAATATGCCAATACAAACATTCAAAAATGTCCTACACAAAATATCTGATGATTCTATTCGATATTGCTTTAAAATTAACATTTATGCTTACGAATAGTTTCAATAAGTCACTTGGGATTACATACTTGACTTGCTAATCTGTACCTAAGTAAAATTTTTGTTGCAGGTCTTATGTAAATAAATATTTCTAAATACATATTGGATAAAGGATTCGGTTTACAGGGAGGTGAATTGATTCCTTCGCTTTTCAATTCGTGGCCTATACATGAACATAGACGTATTAACTAAGAGCTCTTTATAAAATAAAGCCCATCCCACCAGGAGCCCGATTCTTTCAGATTTCTATGACTGATTCTTTGGTTCCCTAAAAATATTATTAATAAAATATGTCAGGAATATTACCTATCCATGCAATCATAAAATCCAATCAAAAGTTATATTATAAATACGAAAGTAACTTTGTCTGTCTGTCTCTTCTACACGCATTGACTACTGAACCGATTTGTGTGAGTACAGACATAGTTTGGAACTTTAAAACCAAAAATCTGCAGAAGTCAATATTTCACGCGGGCTGAAGATAGTTTTAAATAACTAAAAAGGTGTTACCTATAGCAAAACATTACTTGAGGAACAAACCTTGTACAATTCAAAAAAGTCTAGTTAAAACTTCACAACAAATAAGGGACTTACAGAACTCTGAAATAAACTAGCGCCTCGTATTGTCCAATAAAAAATAGCTCAATCAGTGGAAATGCATGGGACATTCCATTTTTGAAAAAAAACAAATGGTGGCCCTTCTAAGCAAAAATCAAGTCACCTACCAATTTTACATATAACACTGCTTCTGAAGTTAGAAGGCGTCTTTGGTTGAGGCGATGAGTGAGAGGAGATCTGCGGTGTTCTTGTCATCAGTCGGTCAGGAAGGATCCGGGGCGGGCGCGGGAACAGCGTGGGAGAGCGGCGGCGACGACGAGCCTTGCTGAGAGAGCTCGGCCTTCACACGCCGCGCTATGTGAGACCGCGTGTGTTTGCGTAAGTGGTCCTTTCGGTAGAAACCTGTGAATTAAGTTAATTTATAGTGCCTCAATATGTGGAAAAACTTTAAATAAATTTTGCCTAATGCATCAGGTAAAGTATTCTGGTTTTTTCTAGGTATTTGCTTTTTACTTGGTTGTAGATATAGACAGTAGGTGACGAAAAGCGTCTAAAAATGGAGGAATTATACAAAAAAAAATGTATAGGATGAATGTTATAAATTATTGAAACAAAGTAAATTCGTACTATGATGTCTTTTGATACGAAACGGGATTAGTCTGCTCGACCGGTATGATACAGAAAATCAGAGTGAAACAACCACAGAGTTGTCATACATGTGAAGATACAGGAGGCACAAATCTCCCCCTTCCCTAATCTTCAAATCCTTAACAGCCAAAAGACTGAGAACAGACTCGTCGTCGTCGTCTGGTGTTGCAACTGTTCATAAGCTGCGCCGAAAACTTGGTAACCATCAGGTGATATGTATGCTCGTATGCCTAAGCCGGCACATAACAAAATGGGAGCAAAAACATTGCAACCCCATAGTAGCTTGGCATAATGGTACAAAAAAGTAAAATAATAAGTTTATTCCAACATACCTTTCCCGCATTCATTACAAACATGCCTCTTCTCGCCGGAGTGTATGACAAAGTGCAGGGTCAGTTGTTCCTTCCTCTTGAAGGCCTTTAGACAGACGGAGCACACGTGAGGCCTGTCCGGGTTGTGGGACTGTTTGTGGCGAGTCAAGTGGTCCTTGCGCTTCAGTGCCGCGTTACAAATGTCGCAGATAAACCTGGAATATTTATTAAGAAACATTTACACTCGTTCATATAGTTGATCCTACTATCCTACTTATCCTACTATCCTACTAATCCTACTATCCTACTAATCCTACTATCCTACTAATCCTACTATCCTACTAATCCTACTATTCTACTAATAATTTAAATGTGAAAGTTGGTGAGAACGTATGTTTGTTAGGTACTATTTCACGCAAAAACGGCTAGACCAATTTGGTTGACATTTGGTATGTACATAGGATTCCCTGAAGTCATAGGCAAAATACCACGCCGGCGAAAGCTAGTTTCACGGCAAATCTTCCGCTAGCCTATTGTGAACATATATAAATATGCTACATTAACAAATAATAACTACTGAATGTTTCTGAATTTCTAAAATTTGGCAGTTTTATTCTTTTGTCAGTTGTAATAGCACAAATTGGCACCCGATATAAAGCGGGTATCAGGTACCGGGTACGCAGGCAAAGCAGCTGTCAGGAGCAAAAATTAGTGATTATACCTCCTCTCCATGGTGTGTCCGACCAGATGTTGCTCCAACAAGTCTCGCTCGGGATACGCCATATGACATTCCGGACAGCAGTATAGAGTGCTGCCATCTGTAATTATAGATAAGATAAAAAAATCCTTAGCGCCATAGGCTACCTATGATTATGATTTGCGTATTATGATTTGCGTATTTTAATCGAGGTATCGCTTTAAGTGTGGGAGAGCCATGCTTCGGCACGAATGGGTCCGCTCGACCGGAGTAATACCACGGCCTTACAGAAAACCGGCGTTGAAAAACCACAACGTTGTGTTTCGCCATGTTAGTCCTTGCCCTCCCCCAATCCTTAAATTTTCAAATCCCTAATACCATAAAGGTCGGCAACGCACTCGTAACTCCTCTGTTCTTTAATGGATGGCGCTGATTGCTTGTCATCAGGCAATCCGTCTGCTCGTTTGCCGACCTATCACATAAGAAAAACCGCTGCTGTTTTGAAATTTCATGGATATATTACTTTCAGCCAGGGTTGCGGGGTAAGCGCAATGAGGCACCGGGACCTCGGCCCAGAGTAGAAGGAACGGGGAGTTTTTAGTCAGTAAGAGTCTGACACTCCCTCCCGCCCGGCCCTGAGCGGGAGAAGTCATTTGATGATTTTCCCCTCACAGAAAAAAATTGATAAGTACATTACTTTCATATACGTGCAAAGCCGTAGGCGGAAGATAGTCAGTAATGTTGTACACTCACCTAGTGCAGTAGTGAGTCGTATCTCTCCAGGCTTAGGCCGCGGTTTCTTCTCCTTCATAGATTTCTTTTTCTTCTTCTTTTTCGATATAACTACAGTGTTAGTATTTTGATTCACAGTCTGATTAACTATTGTTGATGTTTGTACAACTACGCTGTTCACGGCGTTCGCTGGCATCTGAAATGGTAGGGTATCATAGTTAGGTATACATAGTAATTTTATAAAGCGCCTAGAACCTAGGAAAATCTTTTTAAATGCTAAGGCGACTACTAATAAATACCTAAGCTTGGCTCTCCCACACTTAAATATTATAGATTCAAATTGAACATGTCGGTACTCTACGCAAGATAGGCCAACTACCACCCTGGCCGAACCAGAAATACTCTTGGTTCCGTTTTATTGCAAAAAAACCAGAAACGGAATATATACTACAATAGGTTTTCCTGACCCCATTTCATGGGACCAATAATGGGTAACTATTACTTGCTATAAAATATTTGAAAATTTGTTAAAGAAGTGAAAATTATTTTGAAACTTACCGCAGTTATAGTGGGCATGGCATTCAACGCGTTGGCATTGACAGTGGTCACTATAGTGGGTTGTTCCTCCCTCTTACTTTCCACCACATTGGCTGGCGTGGAGTACTTGAGGAGATGATGGAGGGGCAGTGGGAGGGCGGAGAGGTAGTCCGCCACTCCCCCGCCCAGCGTCTGCCAGGTAGAACTATCCGTGACGTCACCGATGCCTGACGCACAGGATACTAGTGAATGATATAGATGGTATGAACGTGATTATGATGTGAAAGAATTACTCTAAGTATAAAAATAAAATAAAAAGTCTTTGTCAAAATATATGTTCTAAAAGTATGGGCAATCAAGCCAGAGCAAGTCAGACCCATCTAGGGCCAACCGATAAAAACATGCGAGTCAGGAATTATTTCCGAAATAGACACTTAAGGTTGAGAACCTACATAACTGGTGAAAATAGTGTAATAAAACAACTGACAGTCACTTCTCCTACCCCTTTGAGGGATTTAACACACGCTTATATATATCATACAATTAAATTAAAAATTCAAATCAGTAAATACCTAAACTGCAAAGAGTTAATATAATAACAAGTCCATATGACCTGTGCACAGTTCAATGCTCAAAGCTCCAGATAATTCAATTTAAAATAATAATTTGATTACGATCAATCAATGTAGTTTAAAATGATTTGAACTCACTGATGAACTCTGTGGGAGCGGTGGCGGCGGCCCGGTCGTTCCTCCCTTCCTGCTTGATGGCGCGCGCTAACGCTGCAGCTTCCTTCGGCTCGTGTAGGACCACCAGCAGCTGTTGAGTGCCCTGCTGCAAGGGAGTCGCTTGCGCCACTGGTGACAAATAGACGCACACGTCATAACTATCTAGTAATTAGAAATTGTACATGTTGTAAAAAATATAAATGAATAGGTCAGGTAGCATTTATTTTATTAACATAACATTTTTAGTACGCGTAATAGCGTAAGTACTAAAACATGCTACATATTCAACTAAAAGGAACGTGATTCTTCTTTATGTCTTCATTGTATAAAACTGGGATTGAAAATAAAAGACATTCTTAAAAACAAATCTTGAACCCTAAGAACCGTGTCACACATTTTTTATTCAATATTAAGGTTGATGATAAATAAAGGTACAAAAGTTTGTACTTACCATTGATTCCTTGGTGTTGCTGCATCATGGTGGCCATGATATCGTGGTGTAGTTCCTCTCGATACTCCCTCTTCTCCGGCCGCTGCTCCGCCTTGAGCTGCTGGTGCACAGTCTCAGCCTGCACATAGCTCGCCTGCCCTCCATACGCGATATTACCCAAGTTTACAGAAGAGGAAGCCGATATCGTTTGATATTTCACGCCGGTGTTCACTACGAGGTACAAATACAGCGCGTTAACAGGTGTTAGAGTAACAGGTTACTACGCGGACACGCGACGCATAGATTGGAGGCTCTTGATAATGTTCAAAACATTGAGTCACCTGTGTGTATGGGCGCGAGGCCAGCCAGCGCCACAGTGCCGGGCTGCGCGCTGCTGACCACCACCACGCTCTCCGCCTGCCGGAACTTGACCCCATCGACAGCCACGGTCCCGGTGCCAGGCGCTACTGCGAACTGCACGGCCCCGCCACCGCTGCCTGTGGCCTGGTACCGCGTCTCCTGCAGCACTCCCCCTGAGCTGCTACCACTGTTTTCATATCCGAACTTTGCGGCGAACTGATGGATCGTAGGAATCGCCGCCGCTGTCGGTATGTGCCCGGTGAACGGAGCAAAATTCATCGTAGTTTAATGAATCTGAAATCGCGGCAGACATGGCAGTTAGGCAAATATCGTTACGTCGAGGCAGGATTGCAAGGTCGCACGCGAGCTATAAAAACTGCAATCGTCCTGTCGGGCAGGTCGAGCACCGTGCGAACCACAACAAAGTGATTCAAAGGGTGCGGCCCCTAGTAGGGCGCTCACTCAACCCCCGCCATTCTGCCTCACCCCAGTCATTTCTAACGCTTTATTTTTACCGGCCCGCCGTCTCACACCATCGGACTTGAAACTCGCACTGGGACGTCGCATCACGAGAGGACACAATCGAATGAAAAGATAATGCGATAGTTACCTGTCTTGTGTCCAGAAAGTAGGTTTTCATGGCGTTTTAATTGTTCGTCGTTGATGAAATAAGTAAGTGGAGTGTGTACGGGGTGCGCGGACATGTTGCGCGGCGCCGCGGCCGGGCGGGGCGGCTGCGCGCCGTCACACCGGCGGCGCCGCGGATGGGGACGGGGGCCTCGCCTCGCTCGCACGCTCACAGCTACTCGAAGGAGTTCCCCATGAGTTTCAAGATCGTGACAAGTTCAGGGTCAATGTGCCTAATTTACATTTTGATTTCGAACTGTCACTTCACACTGGAAGGGTGAGCGACTCTGCTAAAAACCTTTTATTATTGCTAATTCGGTAAGTAGACTTTGTTTGCGCACGTTCCGTAACAGTGGGTAATATTCACCAAGTGTATTGTTATTCACAGCTGTAGCGGTGTGAGCCTAATTTAATGTGTTTTCTTGTTTACGTAAGACCGACCGAGCAAAATAGTACGGTTCTTAAGGCACAGAAATGGGCAAATATACCTACGTCATCAGATATTTTTTTATTATCTTTCTACTCAATCTAAATATTTGTAGCCAAAACTAAAAAAATGTCTGTCTGCGAATCTAGATTTATGTACCATTTTAAATAATGAAAAGTGCATAGGTTCTTGGCCTATCTACGAGGGCGCCACTTATTCGGTATTGAGATGTACATCGCAGCGTCCATATTTCATAATGGCTGGACGCTATCAATCAATGCAATGGGGCGCATAAGTGCATAAATTGAACTAGGCAATCTAATATCATTGCAATCCGGATTTTAAATATTTTTTTCATTAAAAATGGTAGAGATTACTGACTACTTACATGTTTTTGGAATCTGTAAAGGTGAAATATCAGAGGTAAGGAAAAGTATTTATTATTTTATATTTCGTGTGATTGATGAGCTCGGTCCGCCGAGAGCCAAGTGCAATTCGTAACTACCTATGCTGATTTAAGCTCTAGAAATAATTCGAAGGTGGCCAATAATGTAGCTTGGCTATTATTTATCTGATTTTGAATTAGGATTGTTGTAATCAGTATTGTTATTAACTATGCGAACATTTATTGTATTTTTGCATCACCCATAGAACGACCCAGAACTTTTACTACCAGAAAATTATTTGAATCAAGAGAAGTGGCAAAAGATATGATATTTATAAATATCATATCTTTTGCCACTTCTTCACCTAGCTGTAGGTGATATTTATTTATGAACAGCAGAACAGATGCAAAGAATATCAAGAAATGTCAGCTAGAATATTGTAGACGCAATTTATTCTAATATGAGAAATACACATATCTTTAATCTATCATTGTTATAGCAAGCTATTGTGGCGAGTGTGATTGAATTAGTTCATCAACACTTGCATATAATGTTTATAATTTAATAAAAATGACATAGGGAGAGGTTACCGAGTTCTTTTTAGAATTTTGTGATATAGGCTCAATAATGTTTGATTATTTGAATACACGTCTTGAATTGGCAGACAATAATATTTAAGATTGCACTTTGTGAAGATATTTATAATATCATACTATGTGTCTTAAATTGTTAGATTGAGAAGATATCATATTCCTTTTTTATTAAATAAGCTACTTTTTTTTTTGCAATAGTTTTAAATCGTTAAGCAATACCTGTAGCGCACAGCTACAAAATAAGGATTATTGATTGGATCTGTTGAGTAAAGCTGTGAAGTTGAAAATGAAAGACAATATTCAAAAATCAGTGATTTTATTGTTTAATCTTATCATTCTTACGGTGTTTTCTTAATAAATAAAGTTTCATACAAAAGTTTACACTTAAACTCCGGACCGAAGTGGTTTATTAGCTATTTCTTACACTTTATAATACTTGCAACTAATTTCAATAAAACCAAATAAAAAAATACGTTTCTAAATTGGTTAACTGCTAACGTTATCTTAAATGATAACAGATAAGAAGTAAAGTTTTCGACCGAAGTACATGCGATATGCCTAAACAGTTACACAAACAATTAAATAAGATTTCGAGATTTAGAACCAAACTACACTACTCATGATATTTAAATAAAGTCTTAAAACAACAAAATGTACAAAAATACATTTAAAAAAACTATCTTAAAATCAGGGTTGTATCAAAAATCTAACTACTGAATGGACACATAATATTTAGCTACCGGAAAGAGGGAACATTTGTTGTGTTTTATTATTTGATATTAAAATTTGTAAAATAACGACATCTGAATAGCAATAATATTTGCAAACCTAATTTACGTTCATAGAGCACCTTAACATTCACTATAGAAGCATTCTAAGACATAAAAACATGTCACAAGGTAGTAGTGATGCATTACAAAACTTAATTCTAAGTACAAAAATATAATAATTGGAAAATAATTTACAACTACATTAAAGCTGACAATATTAATATCGTGTGGTAGAAAAGTCTAATCAAATCAACATAATTTGTATATTATATTATTAACGCAACTGTGTGACATAATTTCGACCATATTACCAATAAAATTACAGACAGACATACAAAATCATGTTACTATAAATAACGATTATCAACATTTGAAAGCTTTATGAATTCATTTTTCTATGTAACATGATTCCCAAATACTGACAAACTACCCAATTTTGTTACATGCATTTTAAAATTGAGTATAATTTGAGTATTTGGGCAAATAGTCTCCCACACTTGCGATAATTCTAGTCAGCTCCATAAATCCGTTTAATGATCTCTTTGTGCTAGGAGAACTAAGTCGGTAGAGATAATTTTACAAAGTAAACAATGTTATAAGCATTATAAAATAACAAACTATTGCCAGAAAGGGACGGAGCATCTTCACACAGACAATTACTATTTATTTCAATCAATACAATTATTTATTTCAAATCCTAGCACAATAATTAGAGGGTCGTAAATAAATATCACAATTTGATGGAAATGAAAAAGTTTGTATACAAAATAAGAACATGATGGATATGAATGCGATGAGTAATGGTTAATGGTATAAATATCACAGTGACAAGGATATTTACAAATGAATCGCAATGTATGTTAATCAAACGAGAATTCCAGAGTCACAGGTATTTGAGAACATCGTATTTGTTTAAATGTTAATGTACCCCAGAGTAAACAACATACAATGTTTAGATTAAATCCTAAACTATATAATACTATTATGTGTATTTTCTTTGTCTATGGAGCTGATCTTTCAGGCGAACTGGAAAATCCTAGATATATTTCACATTTGTATGGGTATTTAAACAGTAGAATACATCAACTATTGTAATTATTGGATAATTACTACCAAACAATGTACTTATACTACGATGCATCAAATAAGCAACCGGAATCACGAATGATCTAAGCTCAAAGGAGGTTGTACAAACGTTTCGTTATTATAAAACAAATTGTGTAGAAACGTTTGACGGAATGAGAGTGCCATGTCATGGTATTATCAGTATTAAAATAAAAATTTACAATAATACGTTACGTGATATGTATCTACAAACATTATGCTTGAAGCTTTATCACTTTATCGATTGAGTTTCGTCGACACTAATTATAGCTTACGAACAACGCATTTCTTTACATAGACTTGTAAACTAGTCTCTTCATGGAGCTCATTACCTTACCGTGTTAAGTCTAAACACTTACAAGGCCACGACCGTACACTTGGAAATATTGAGCTGTTTCATACGAATCATCTATGGCAACAGCTATTCCATCAAGTCTAAAACGACTCTTTAAAGAATTACATGTATTTATTCTATTTACTCATAAATGATTCATATCATACATCGCAATGTTCCTATTTTTTTTAAATTAACTTTTTACAGACTTTTAATTCGGCGTTACATCTTGGGCTTACATTTCAAAGTACTGTATTACCCTGTAATAATTAAGTAACTGATGTATTGTTTATATAACTCATGGCTCCATTCGAATCACAACCAACATCAATCATAATAACCCTTTGTTTTATTCGATTTTGCTTTCACTCAAATATTTTCTTATATTGCTAAGGTCAATGCCAGACGTCGTTGCTGCGGTGATATGTTTAAATTTGACAATATGGCCTGGACTGTTGGGGTTATGTAAGCTAACGAGTACTGGACTCGCAAGCTCACATACTAGCATACAGACAGGTCTACAGGCCTACGTAGCCGTCGTCACAAATATTGTCATGAGTTAACTCTGCAATGACCTTAGAACGATGTCACACCTTAGTAGGTATCGTCAAGATACGACAATGCGGCGGCAAACATTAATTATTCGATCAGTTAACTAGGTCAGGGGTGAATGAATAAAATAGAAGATTCACACTGAAACCGAAATAGTAAAAGTAGTCTTGTATAGTCAAATTTTTTTTGTGCAATTTTATCGAGACTATTTTTGCTTAATTTTAATACTGGATTACAAAAAATGTTTACGGGAATAAATTTAACAGAAATCAAGCTAGGTGGAACTGAATAAATAAAAGTAATGTTGGTTACCTGCACATTAGCCCTGACCTAATCATCAGAGACTACAATTTTAGAAGAAAAGGGGATAGACCTTACATGTTTATGGGGAGCGCTTTATGTTGGGTTTCTGTGTGAGGAGAAGGTGGAGTGTGGAGGCCTATGGTCAGGAGTGGTGCGCCAGCAGAGCGTCCAGCGTGTCTGCGTGCGCCTGGCTGCCCAGCGACGTCACCACGTGCTGCGGGATGTTTATTTGCACCGGGCTCTGAGAGTTCGAGCTCGTTGGTATCTGTAATCAAAATATATATATATACATTAACAATCCAATTTAGCTGTGTATTTGACTCAATCTTTATAACAGAAAGAGGTTATTCTTTCAACTGATTTATGTTTGGCTCTTAAAGCTGATATTTAAACGATGACATTTTTTTCTGTTAAAATTAACATCTAAAACTTTACAAAAACTCTAAAACAAACAGAAAAAGAATTATTTAAGAAGAAAGAGTACTAGATACAATGGTTTAATAGCATGTAAGTTGGTACATACGTGTATAGTGATCTCAGGTAAGATGTTATTATTGGCGGGAGCGGGCTGGACGGGTGCAGGAGTAGCCACAGCCGCGTTGTCGGCGCCGGCCGCCTCGTCGCGAGCTCGCTTGCTCTCGTGCGACCGCGTGTGCTTGCGAAGGTGATCCTTACGATAGAAGCCTGTCAAACAAATTTATTACGAATACTTCATAATGACAAAGTACTTTTCTTTAAGACGTTAATTGTTATCAGGTTTTTATTTATTTATTTATGATCTCCAACAAAGCATATTGTGTATATGAAAGCGGCGAAGTGACCCTGGTTGGTTTTTGAGCCAGAAATGTCCAATAGCTGATATGCATTAGGCCTGGATGTCCGAGTTGAAAATTAGATTTCTAATGAGCTCAAAATTTTACTGCAATCTAGTACCATTTTATATGTTGTAAAGCATAATAAAGTCCATTTTTTCCTACGGCTAGTTAATGTCCCCATATGAAAATATTTCAACCTATCACAGTAACTTGTAATTTTTTTAGCCATAGTTTACGTCTACATCGAATTTATTGGAGTCTTCTTTCCTGTAGTTCTGATATCAAAGGTAAGTTATAAATTATGTACTAACATGTATTATTGTCAAAATAAATGATTTGAAACCGACTACCAATTATTTTCTGTGATCCCAAATGTCCCTATCATAGGTAATCAATAGAGATAGTGAATTGATTTTAATTACCTTTCCCGCACTCTGTGCACATTTCAGTCTTCACACCAGAGTGGATGATAGTGTGTAGATTAAGATGCTCCCGTCGTTTGAATCCCTTGCGGCACACATCGCAAACAAACGGCCGCTCTGGGTTGTGACCGAGCTTATGCCGCTCTAGATGTTCCTTGCGTTTTAAACTGTAAAGGGAAAAGTTCAAATAAATGTGAGGTGTGGGTCAGAAACCGGCCTGAAGCACTTACGATGTGTTTCGCCATGCGAGTATGGTTACCGGAGACTTAATTCTCAAAACTCCTATCCTTAAAAACCTAATAACCTACGAGAGACCGGCAACGCACTTTTTGTCTCTTTTAGTATAAGGAGTGTCCATGGGCGACGCTGATTGCTTACATTCATGTAGGTAATACGTGAGCTAGTTTGCCGACATTAAAAAAAATAATGCTTACCCAGCCCCACAGATCCCACAAATGAACCGCCTCTCGATCTTATGGCCAACGAGGTGTGTCTCGAGCCGTTCTTTCTCTGTGAAGGCCATATCGCACGCTGGACAGCAGAATATAGAAGTGCCGTCTGTGGAGGTGGTGATCACAATATTCCCAGATTTCGGCTTCGCAGGTTTTGGCGGTTTCTTCTTGTACTTTTTCTTCTTTTTACTCTGTATTCTAAGAGTGCCGTCTGCAAAAGAAAAGAGAAAATACAATAAATACCCAATGGTTCAGTAACATTATTTTATTCCTAAAAGTTTACGAATCATAGTGGGTTTTAATAACGATAGATGATTTTTTCTATTTACTGCACTGCAGCTTCAATAAATCATGATAACTTCGCATTGCCACCAAATAGCCTCTGATCTGATATCATGGTAATGTCATCTACTATCAGATTAAAATTGCGAGGCGATAAGTAATATGCATTTTGTAAAATAGAGCTCTGAAGCTCATTCAGTAATGTTTAGTAATTATGTAAAAAAGGGGTATAAATGAGAGGAGCAAATATGAGGCAGATAAAAGAACTTTACACTACAAAACTGACCTTTAATTATTTCATGACAATTATCAATTAATAGACACTAAAACACTATGTTAATATAAATACTAGAGTTAGGTACAAAATACATCAGGCGGAAAAATCTAAATATAAAAACAGTGGTAAAAGTAAGTATAAAATAATTTAGTACAATTTTAGAATTGTATAAAAGAGATTTCAAATCTATATTATTAAAATAGTTTTTTTCGAAATAAAAACACAAGCTCGTCTCACAATACAACTTCACAAGTGTTGGGACAGGTATCCACTCGCTCTACAATTCACTAAATATTATTTATTACCTAAACAACTAACTGCTGTCACATTATCATAATCGTTCGTTATTGTCAATCGACTTTCTCTTACTACATATTTTAACATTTCCAAAAAGGAAAACTAATAAATGTTAGTATAACAAGAAATTACAAAAATATGGCAACTACCTTTGAGGCAAAAATAATTAATTCTAGCTTTTCGTTCGTTGTAAAGAATAAATTAAAAGCTAATTTCTTAAAATTATATTCTAAAATTTAGTTTCAACTGATAAAAATATAAAACTACTCCTAACACTTCTAATTTTAACAATGTGATAGCAGCCCTTCTTATTGTATATTTTACAAATATTATTTTGAAAAATACGATTAAATGCTTCATTTATAATCTTTATATATAGACATACATCCTAGGAGACGTATACAGCAAAGACGACTAAAATTACAACAGTCACATATTTCATATGTTATTAAAATAAATCAGCTGATATGTTTTACAACCTACAAAATAACATACGTTTTATTATTATTGATTTTAAAGTTCTATTTAGAATTGAGCATAACAAATATATAGACAGTGATACTAAAATTAATCGCTTTATTTATAAAAATGAATCCCAATTTCCCTTGGTCATCATCGGATTGGTTTCGGTTTTAATTGTAGATTAAGTAACATCGGTGCTTTAGCGGATAACTAACAAAAGCAATAGCTGACACCGGGGAAGTTGAGAAAAAACATCCGTCCAACAGCAGGGTACTTACAAAACATATCTTTCGCCACTTAGTACCTACTTAAATTTAAAATGTGTGACCTATCTTACGTTCAAAGGCCTGTTCCAAAATATCTGATTATGTTGAAATGTACGAGTTAAGATGGTAATGCCTCATCCGAGGTTTTGGAGCAAACGCAAAAGGGTATTGCAGCCTCGGCCTGGATAAGGATAAGGAACAGGATGTTTTACAGTCAGGGTCAGAAAATCTCTCTCGACCTGTCGGGATGCCATCACAAAATAAGGTGAAAATGCATTACCGTATCGTTGCGTCTTTACAGAGACAGGACGTGGCAGGATCCGAGTGACATAACTACGTATCTAACCAAAATAAATACATATATGAGTAAATACGCTACGATACGTAGGTTATAGGTTAGGTATATTGCTACTCGTAATCTATTACAACCAAAAAAATATATGAAACAGGCCCTTAGAGAACACAAATATTTAGTGAGTTGCATTGCAAGTTACAAGAAACTTACTTCTAAATCTTATACTTAAATACAATGAGAGTATTACCACCTTATAATCAAATTGCACATTTAATTGTAACTTATTTACTATTTTTGGTAAACCTAATACTGATATTACAGTACAATACTGAGGAGGAACACTGTTTTGGTATGTTACGAATGACTAGTTTCAAAGCCGTGTCTTCTGTAGAAACAATTGTAGAGCTGACGGGCAGCCTGACTAAAAGTCAAAATCCTAATGAAGTTGAAGTATGGTCAAAATAGGTATCTATTCCAACACCACAGAACAATACAGGATGTCAGTAGAGATAAATATATTAGCAAAAGACACAGCTTTGTAAAATTTTATGACTATAGGTATGTATATTAACTTATGGTGCAAATCCAATGTATATAAATGTATTCTGCACAGCGATTCATTCGCTTGGCAATACTGTTCGCATATTATAACAATAATTAACAAAAAAAAAAGATGCACAAACAATGTCACACCAACTCTTATCAATTTATTAAGAGGCCAAAGAACTATGGACTTGGCCTATTGTCATTCACTGGGTATAATTCCAAATACGGTACTACAAGAAATTTTCAAAAATCCGAATATCAATATCATCTATACATTGTTAATTTCCTGGCTCTTCCTCGGCAACCGCGCGTACTCGAGCAGCGAAGCAGTACATTTTAATGTAATTCTTAGGCCAAAAATATTGCAGCAATGCACCTAATAACCAGCCTCTTTGGTTGTGCGTATTTTTAAGCTTAGACCGAAATATATAATTATGTATTGGCATTTCGCCGAATCCACAACTCACACCTCACACAGAATAACACAAATATAATGACAGCAGTTTATTCGTACATTATGTGTAATGTTAAACGAAGGTTGTAATCAAACCTCCGATAAATAAAAGACAACGGAGATGAGAATATATGGATAGACTCGTAGATTCATACATTTTTGGTAATCGTAACAGCCTGTCTAATGAATTGCCACGTCATACAATAAATCATTGTAATCACGTCAAATACCTGCCGTATCGGATCGACGCAAAATATTGACACTGTGTCATAGGTATTTTCCGCAAAAAAGTTCGCAATTAGCGTTTCGGTTTATGCAGTGAATTTACTAAATTTTTTTTCCGATTTATTATCAGCCCGTGCAGTTGATCATCCGATAGCATAAATGTTTCTTTGAAAAGCTTTTTGCAAACTCGGACGTTTTTACCTTCAATATTCGGTAAGGTGAATTGTAAAATATACTTTTTTCTCTTTTCCAGGCGATCAGTAGATATCTTCCAATAAAATTCAAGACAGGTACATAAAAACAATAATTGTTTTTTACGACTGCGTAATCCGTAAAATTTCTTACGTAAGTTTAACTGTTCGGTCGCACTTATTTTTAAAAAACATTTATTGACACAAGTGCAGGTGCCTAGTTTTTTCATCTGACTCTTGTGTGCTGATTGTTTGATTTCTTGTTTTTTATCTAGTTTAATTTTCTTCTTGTTTTTAGATATTACAATATTATTTTCGTTATTTTGTAATCTCTTTTTTGCAACTTTATGGTTTGTATTTCGCGTATCTAATTCAGTAGAATCAATTTTACTACTTGAAGTTTGTGTTATTTTTGTGGGTTTGGCACCCGAAGATATCTGTCCATATTTATTCAATTGCATATTATTGATTTCTGTATTATCAATGTGTTGATCTTCTTGTATAGGGCACTCTATACATTTGTATGTTGATAATGATCGTTTCCTTAAATGTTTTTTATTAGGAGCAGATGCTGGTGGTAGCTCAACTCTAAATATTTTTAATTTTGGTAATCTGTTTGTTACGTGTTCACTATTTTCTTTAGAAACATCAGTATTTTTAGGGTCATTATTGAATGAATCTGGATTAGGCAAAGGACTAACATCTTTGGATAGACTTGGCTTTGGTGAAATACATTCATTCCTAGTAACTGGTGTTGGTATAAAGTTATCGACTATAGGTAAATTTAATTGTTTGCCAATTAAAGAATGGTCATTTTGAGAGAAATTGGGCATTGGTAAAGAATGGTCATTTATAAGAGAATTGTGAATACCCAATTCTCTCTTATACCTATCTCTCATACCAATAGGTAAAGAATCGTCATAAATAGATGTGTTGGGTATCGCAGGTAAATATTGGTAATTAATGGGGGAATTGGATATAGGTGAAGAATGGTCATTAAGAGGGGAGTCGGGACTTTGTACTGGATGGTCATCAACAGGGGAGTCGGGACTTTGTACTGGATGGTCATTAACAGGGAAGTCGGGACTTTGTACTGGATGGTCATCAACAGGGGAGTCGGGACTTTGTACTGGATGGTCATCAACAGGGGAGTCGGGACTTTGTACTGGATGGTCATTAACAGGGAAGTCGGGACTTTGTACTGGATGGTCATCAACAGGGGAGTCGGGACTTTGTACTGGATGGTCATCAACAGGGGAGTCGGGACTTTGTACTGGATGGTCATTAAGAGGAGAGTCGGGACTTTGTGCTGGATGGTCATTAACAGGGAAGGCGGGACTTTGTACTGGATGGTCATTAACAGGGGAGTCGGGACTTTGTACTGGATGGTCATTAACAGGGGAGTCGGGACTTTGTACTGGATGGTCATCAACAGGGGAGTCGGGACTTTGTACTGGATGGTCATTAACAGGGTAGTCGGGACTTTGTACTGGATGGTCATTAAGAGGGGAGTCGGGACTTTGTACTGGATGGTCATTAACAGGGGAGTCGGGACTTTGTACTGGATGGTCATCAACAGGGGAGTCGGGACTTTGTACTGGATGGTCATTAACAGGGAAGTCGGGACTTTGTACTGGATGGTCATCAACAGGGGAGTCGGGACTTTGTACTGGATGGTCATCAACAGGGGAGTCGGGACTTTGTACTGGATGGTCATTAAGAGGGGAATCGGGACATTGTGCTGGATGGTCATTAACAGGGAAGTCGGGATTTTGTACTGGATGGTCATTAACAGGGGAGTCGGGACTTTGTACTGGATGGTCATTAACAGGGGAGTCGGGACTTTGTACTGGATGGTCATCAACAGGGGAGTCGGGACTTTGTACTGGATGGTCATTAACAGGGGAGTCGGGACT